GTTCTTTTATTGTTCTCTCACTTTAATAATACTTTTCTCATATTCTCTAACACTCAGTAAACCCCTTGCGTCTTAGTGGCTTTATTGCCTTGCATGGAGTGAAATGATTCAACAAACTCTCTTTGTCCGACATATTCTGAATCTCCGGCAATTATCTTGTAAAACTCATTAAAGTTAATTTTTTTTTATATTTAGTTTCAAGCTGCGATTATTGGCTTACGGCCACAACACGTTGAAACATCGCTCCCCGTATGTTCAACGAAGTTAAGCAATGATGCAGTAGATAATAGATGAGAGCCGAGTTCCAATTCCAGTTGGGTTCGTTATATTCACTTGCGCGCAAATACCATCAGCAAAGTCATAAATTCATCTCTTCGCCCCAGCTATGGGTTAATTAGTAAAACATGTATCTCTAAATCATTATTATCTCAAATAAATTCTTACAATCTAAAAAATATTTTTTGGCTTTAAATAACCTGTAAAAGGTTGATAAACCGTAAAAAGAAAAATATGCGTTTTGAACTGTAATTTAGTTTGTAATTTTTTTTTTTTTTAATCTTATAAATTGGCAACTAATTAAAAACTTACGCAAATGCATTTATCATATTTGATACGACTGACATGTCTGGTTTGGCGCCGAGCAATCCTCACTTTCCAGTCTATATAGAGTTCAGAATCGCTTATGAAGCGATTACTTATTTTTCATTCTGCAAACTCTTTGTAATTGACTCAAAATAGCAAGGAATCATCTGGTTTTAAATCAAGAGAAACATTTAATTATCATCTTTTGACTGAACTATTTTTTTATAGATGTGAAAATATGACGATCCTCTTTTTTCTTCTTCTTTTTCTTAATTCTTTCTTTTTCTTCCTTTTTCTTCATCTTCATATTCATGCTCTTCTTTCTTCATCCTCTTTTTTATTTCTTTATCTTTTTCTTCATCTTTTTTTTTCTACTTTTACGATTTATTCTTCGCCTTTCTTCGATCATTTATGCTTTGTCTTCTTTCTCGCTTTCTTCATTCTTTCTTTCTTCCTTATTTTTCTCCTTTCTTTTCCATTTTCTTTCTTTCTCCCTTTCTTTCTTTCTTTCTTTCTTTCTTTCTTTCTTTCTTTCTTTCTTTCTTTCTTTCTTATTAGAACCCGCTCTTTTTCTTTCTTTCTTCCTTATTTTTTTCTTTTCTTCCCCCATTTTTCTTTCTTTCCTTTTTTCTTTCTTTTCTTCTTTCTTTCCTTCTTTCTTTCCTTCTTTCTTTCTTTCTTTCTTTCTTTTTTATGACAGCCCTATCATCAATATGTTCTTCCTTGCTTTATTTCTTTCTTTCTTATTAGAACACTCTCGTTTTCCTTCTTTCTTTCTTTCTTTCTTTCTTTCTTTCTTTCTTTCTTTCTTTCTTTCTTTCTTATGACAGCCATATCATTAAAACCCTCTCTTTTTCTTCCTTTCTTTCTTTCGTTATTTATTCTTGCAGCATTGGTAGCAGTAAAGAATCCACATAATCGCAAACCATATAAATTTATAAGGTTTTTTTTCTTTTAGAACATTTAAATTTTTTCAGATATACATAAGTATTTAATATAAAAGCTAGGCATGACTTTTTTCATATTAATGTTTTCCAATCAGTGGTTTAAATTGCTGAAGCCACTACTTCATAAAAATCATAATATCAACAGGGTGCGATGGGCCAAATGTAGCCATATTATATTTTTTATTTCGCGCATGCGCGTTTTTTGTTTTGATTTTGTAGACTGCACAGTGGAATATGGTCAGTTGGGCAATGTCGTGGAAGAAAAAAAGCATCACGACGTAATACACACTGCCAGAAATTTAGAAACAGCATGCTGTACTGCTTGGCATTCGTGCTGAAAGCTCCAATACGAACATTTTGGGTGTCAAGATGAGGACAGTGCAGAGAACTCTAATGAGTCTAATGCAGATTACGATGGTACGGCAGCAAGGTAAACTCAATCTGATCATTAGGATGAGAAAAGAACTCCCGAATTTGTAGCTGAGTGATTCAGACTCAATACAGAGACCTACATCAAGGTTCTAGGAGTGTCAAGATTCTTGTATGTCTAAGTGGGTATCGGATGGTAATGTGAACTGACTCAAACATAATTGAAAATAGCAGGGTTTTTGTCTTTTTATCTGTTTTCTCTCACTCTCTGACGAAACTTTAATAATACACACACACACACACACACACACACACACACACACACACACACACATATAGTAATTTTCCAAGCCGGGCTTAGATGTGACACAAGGCCGAAAGTATGGGGCACCCAGTGAGGTTCGAACTCACTAGTCAGTCGTAATTGATCTAACAAGACAAACTTTCTAACCATTACACCACGTCGAGGTGCCACACACACACACACACACACACACACACACACACATATATATATGTGTGTGTGTGTGTATATATATATGTGTGTGTGTGTGTGTGTATTTAAATGTAGCTGTCTCGTCTACTCCAATAGCTTCATGTCTCGCACTTCCTGTCTGTGGAACTCCCTTTTTTCTTACTTGCTTCCCTGATAGCTATAATCTCCAACTATTCAAATGCAATGTCAATCGACATCACATGCCTTGATCGATTCTACGTCTTTCTCTTCATCCTTTCCTCTATCACGCCTCTTTACTCTTGGTCCCACTCTCTGTAACCCCTTGCGTGCTAGTGGTACTATTGCCTTGATTGGGGTGAAAAAGCTTATATACATACATATATATATATATATATATATATATATATATATATATATATCATATCATTTCACTTTTTCCTTTTTCTACACTTTTCTTCTTCTTACTCACTCTTTTTCACCTTTTTCACCCTTTTCTTCTTACTCACTCTTTTTCACCTTTTTCACCCTTTTCTTCTTACTCACTCTTTTTCACCTTTTTCACCCTTTTCTTCTTACTCACTCTTTTTCACCTTTTTCACCCTTTTCTTCTTACTCACTCTTTTTTCACCTTTTTTTCAATTTTTCTTCTTACTCACTCTTTTCACCTTTTTTCACACCTTTTCTTCTTACTCACTTTTTTCACCTTTTTCACCCTTTTTCTTCTTACTCACTCTTTTTCACCCTTTTCTTCTTACTCACTCTTTTTCACCTTTTTCACCCTTTTCTTCTTACTCACTCTTTTTCAACCTTTTCTTCTTACTCACTCTTTTTCACCTTTTTCACCCTTTTCTTCTTACTCACTTTTTCCTCACAATCTTCGCCCTTTTCTTTTTCTACTTTGTTCTTTTTGTCTTTTTCTCTCTCTGTTTCACCATCTTCACTCTTTTCGTCTTCCACACACTCATTTTTATACCGTCTTCACTCCTTTCTCTCTCAACTCTCTCTTTTACTCGTTCTTCACTCTTGTAGTCTTATTCTCACTCTCTTTCAGCTTCTTCGTCCTTTTTTGTTTTCTTCTACTTACTTTTTTTCACCCAATCATCTCTGTATTTCTCTTCTTCGCCTTTTTTTTTATCATCACCCTTTATTTTTACTTTCGCATTTTCTTCTTCATTATCATTGTCTTCGTTCTTTTCATCTTTTACTGACTTTTTCGCCCCCCCCTCTTTTTTTGCTGCTTTTCTTTATGTTCCTCACCATTTTTCTTCTCATGATAAAGAGATTCTTCTTCACCCCCCTCTGATCTTTTCTTACTCTTCGTCGTCATTTCCCTCCTCCTTCAGATACTCTTTATTTACCTTTTTGGCAAACACCGAGAAACCTGCCTGCAATAAGACGTCATGTCAAAAGAACGGTTTTTCCTATTATACTGCTTCTTTTTTTTTTAAATACCTTCACTCTTCAGCAACCTTTATTATTTTTTAAAAAAAGTGTTGATTAGGATTGAAATAAAACCTTACACACGTTGAAAATGAATTTATACATTTTCTTTGTTCTTGAGAATTTACAACAAAAATATCAAATACAATTAAATTGTTTATTTACAAGAATAATTTTATATTTAGAACATTCTAAAAACTAATAGAACTAAGACTAATTCAAAACAATATTTATCATTTACCAATTTATAAAGAAATAAATATGAAAAAAATTATTCATAAATTTACTAAATTATTAAAATATGTGAACCACTCTAAGGAAATCATTATTCATTTTATAAAGTTTTAATCCACTGGCTATTATTAGTCGTATTTTCGTAAACATTTCATTAACCCTAGAACACAAACCATGGGTATATAGTACCCAGCGCAAATTTTCCTAATTTTAATTCCAATTTTCAGTACCTGCTTTTCTTACCTAAATAATACGTTTTTCAGTTCCTATTAATATTAACTCAAAGTAAAAATTTTGATGTGTCTGCATGTAAAATATTTCAATAAAGATTTATATTTAATATAAATAAAATATTTTTGATATTTTCAAAATCGGGTATGATATACCCATGATTAGTTGTGGTATAACTTTTAATTGATGGTTAGTGTTCTAGGGTTAAATAATATAATAAATAGTGTATAAATTCTTCTCGAGGAGTTTGTAACACATTGTTTATCGTCTTTCAGTTGCGTCTCAGTGCACTCAGGGTCGGCTCCGTCAAAGGACAGGTTCGCAACTGAGGAAAATTATACTGAGAGATGCCCGGCCCCAGGGAGCAGCTGCCCGAGGCCGCGCCCTCTCATTGCACTAGAGAAAGGGATCGGTGCACGCGCAACCGATGATTGCGGGGGCTGCGGACAATTTTTGTTCCTGGCCCGTGTGTACGCGTTCGGGGTCCCCACCCTAAAAACTGACCTTGTGTCACAACTCGTCTTAGTGGGGAGATAGGGTAAATACTTAATAAATAAATAGTTTAAAAAATCTATTAAATAGTTTTTTTTTTATTATTATTTTTGTGGTCAGTTCTTAAGAACAAAGAAAATATATAAATTCACTTTTATATGTTTACGTTTCATTCCAATTTAAATCATCGTTTTTAAAACAATAAACATTGTCGAAGAATGAAGTTAGGTAAAAAAAAAAGCGGTGTCATGGGAAAATACGTCCTTTTGACACTTGGTCTTATTGCGTACACGTTTGTCCATGTTTGCTGGCTTTTTTATTTGTCATTATCTACACTTCATTCGTTTCTCTTTCTTCGGTACATTATTTATCCTTTCCGATTTTTTTACTTTCTTCTCTCTCTCTCTCTCTCTCTCTCTCTGATTCATTTTCTTTTTTCATTTTTTCTCTTTCTTTATCACCCTCTTCACAAATTATTCCGTTTTTCATTCTTCTCCTCACTTTCATTCCCTTCTCTTCAAACTTTCCTCTGTTTTCCTCATCGCTTTTTCTTTCACTCGTTTTTTTTACCTTCTACTTACGATCACTTTTCTTCTTTTCTATTCCTTACTTTTCATCTTTCTCTCTCTCTCTTTCTCTTTTTTCTCTCTCTCTCTTTCTCTTTCTCTCCCTCTCTCTCTTTCTCGCTCATTTTTCTTTCTTCGTCTTTCTTTTTCCTCTATTTGCTTATCACTTTCAATTTCTCTTTCCCCATTTTCTTTATTTATCTCCTCTCTTCTACTTCCTCACCTTTTTTATTCTTCTCACTTTCTTCTTTTCTTTATTCCTTCCTTACTCTTAATCTCTGTTTTCTTTCTTTGTCTGTCTTTCTCTTTCCTTTTACTTTTTATCACTTTTCATCGTTCTTTCTCGTCTCCCTCGTCTTCTTCCTTTTTCCTCCATCTCTCTCTCTCTCTCTCTCTCTCTCTCTCTCTCTCTCTCAGTTTCTCACTTTTACACAATTCTTCTTCAATCTCCTTTCACACCCGTTGTTTTTTTCTATTTTGTTATTCTTCAGCCTTCCTCTCTTCTCTATTCTTTCCCCACTCGCTTCATCTCTCTCTACTTTCGTCTTTCTCTTTACTCCACCTCCTTTTCATCACTTTCCTTCTCCTCCTCCTCCTTTTCATCACTTTCCTCCTTTTTATCACTTTCCTCCTCCTCCTCCTCCTCTTTTTATCACTTTCCTCCTCCTCCCTTTTATCACTTCCCTGCTCCTCCTTATTATTACTTTCCTACTCCTCCTCCTCCTTTATCATCACTTTCTTCCTCCTCCTCCTCCTCCTTTTTATCACTTTCCGACACCTCCTCCTCATCCTTTATCATCACTTTCTTACTCCTCCTCCTTTTTATCACTTTCCTGCTCCTCCTCCTTTTTATCACTTTCCTACTCCTCCTCCTCCTCCTTTATCATCACTTTCTTACTCCTCCTCCTTTTTATCACTTTCCTGCTCCTCCTTTCCATCTCGTCCTTTTTATCACTTTCCTCCTCCTCTTTTTCATCACTTTCCTCCTTTTCATCACTATCCTCCTCCTCCTCTTTTTTATCACTTTCCTCCTCCTCCGCCTCCTTTTCATCACTTTCCTCCTTTTTATCACTTTCTCTTAACCATTTCTTCTCGTCTTCCTTTATCGACGATTCTCTCTCAATCCCCCCTCTCTCTCTCTCTCTTCACTTTCTTTTCCATTCCACACTTTCGCGAAATTTTCAACCTTACGTCTTCTTGATATTCTTCTTCCTTCCTATTCTTTCTCTTCCTTTTTTTCATTTTTTTTTCCCAATTTCTCATCGCTGTTCAAACTTTCTTATCTTTGAATTTTCTCTTTTTTTTTTTTACGAGCTTTCCTCCGCCTCCCTTTCTTTCTGTCTCCCTTTCTTTCTTCTTCCTCCAGCCTACTCCTGCCCATCGCCAGCCCCCAGCGTTGTTAAGGGCAAATCCTGTCTGACACTGCTCTTAATTGTCGATTGAAGCCACTAGTTTGGCACGTATGCTGTCAAAATTATTTTGACGGTAGCGGAATCAGAGGTTGGTGGGGAGTAGTAAGGAACGGTGTGGGTGTCGGGCTGATGCGGAGGAATGAGTTTATTGGTGAAAACAGGAAAAGTAAAATGGCAATTATATATATATATATATATGAGAATCGCACCCGTTTCTGTTATGAGGGTAATATTATATGTAAAATGCAAGATACTGATATGGGTTTCAACAAAATAATTATCCACGATTTTTTTTTCTATTTGTCGAATAATATCGCGGAAAAATTTCACAGGGTGAGGGCAATGGATTTTACAAGTACACGACAGACAATTATTATCTTCTGGGCGTTAAAATCAACATTTTAGCAATGAGGCTGGAGCCAGTTCTTAAAATTAAAGCATAGAGCGATGGATAAATTGTCGTCTAAATTACGCAAAAACGAAAATAACACTGACATCTCATTTTAACAGATATAATTAGCAAAATTACACAAAGATATTTTGAAATACTAAAAATTAAATTTATTCATTAAAATCGTCCTTGGCTTCAACCACGACCTCCAGACGACTTCGGAATCTCCTGCAACTCTTCTCCTTGTTTAAGTTGGTGAATGCTGCCATAATCCTTGCCTTCAGTTCATCTTTGGTGTTACAAGAAGTTTTGTTGGTCTCTCGCACAACTGCGCCCTACACATAATAATCAAGGGGGTTGCAATTTGAGGAGTTAGGTGTACAGATGTAAGGGATGATGTGGTCTCAGATGTTGTCTAACAGCCATGGCTGGTTCTCCTGCTTGTGTTGTATGGTGCAGAGTCCTGTTCTTCCAACAGCCATCCTTTTGACCCAAGGCAACACTACCTCCTCAAGGCACGATGTAGGCCTCCGTGTTGAGTCTGAGGCCCTCACCAACAAATTCGCGAGTTCTTTTCTTATCAGAACGATCAGAGTGAGTTTTCCGAGTTGTCGCACCTTCGTAATCACCATTAGGCTCATCCAACTCTTTCCGAATCCTCTGCACTGTCACCCAAACACACTAAAATGTTCGTATTGGAGATTCCCGCGCGAAGGCCTAGCAGTACAGTATGCCGTTTCCAAATTTCTGGCGGAGTGAATTGCATCATGGTGCTTTTTTTCTCACGGACGCTGCCCAACTCGGCAAAATCAAAAATAAACAATGCGTGAAATTAAAGTTATCAAATGGCGATAATTTACCTATCGCACCCTGTATATATGACATTAAAAGTTTCTGATTTCTATAAATATTTTTTTTTTTTAAAGAATTGATTACAACCTACACGCTATTAAATGTAAATTATGCTTTTATACCTTAGGATAAATGCAGTATTAGCTGGAATTAGTCACGCTTTCTGACCACGAAAACTATATTGTGACACGTATTTCTAGCCAGAATCTTGATCGTAACCCATTAGGACTGTAGGAACACCACATGTACTGCAGCTACAACGTCAGTGGTATGTCTATCTTGACGACGTGCATCCTTCTTCAGAATTCAGGGTTTTCCTCTCATAGACTAGTTACCACCGCAAGAATAGAGAGCCTAGCTAATCTTGCTATTTAACCTATAGCTGGGGGGTTATTAATTGATTGAATTATTTTTTAAGGCCTATCAACCTTTTGTAGGTTACTTAAAGCCAGAAAATATTTTCACATTGCAAGATTATTTGGGGGATAATAATGATTTACTGACCCAAGTCTTATTAATTAACCCGTACTTGGTGGTAGAAGAGGTTGATTCTTACCTTTCCCAAGAGTATTTGCGAGTAAGTGAAGAAAAACGAAATCCCGATTTACAATTCCAAGCCGTTATATATTACACCACCCACACACCTAAGCTTACAGCACCTGGCATTTGGAAGCGGTCACCCATTTAGATACTGACCAGGCTCGACGTTGCTTAACTTCGGTCATCGTACGAGAACCGTTACTTTAACTTGATATGGCCGTATGTCAACTAGAGGAGGGAGAAATAAAAGGTGGGTTCTTACCTTTTCCAAGGGTATTTGTGCGAAAGGGGACCTAACGAACCTAATAGGTTCACCTATTTTTATCTTGCCGAATGGCTACACTCCCGACTCACTAAGAATTTTGGTGCGTTTTGCATTTTTTTTAAACATAAACCAAGAACTTTCAAATTCTCACATTCACGAGAACGAGCGACGAGAATCTCGAGATAGATAGCAGAAGCCTCAAACCAGATATGGCAGTAACATTCAATGCGAATGGTAGATTTATAAATGTGCAAGATGTATTCTGACGAGAAAAATTGTCTGCCAGTCAGCCAGTTTCTCAATCAGCAGACCTAATATTTGATTCAATAAAATCACTCTACATCATGTCAGTGGTAAAACCTGAGACAAACAAATCACAATGAGTTTATCTTCTGAAGGTTAGTTTCCGCCATGCTGATGGAACGTAAAACAAATGATCTCTATCGTGATTAAAAGATAGCTCTTTCGTTTTGGAGACGTTAAAATTTACAAGCCATTGTTTGCACCAGTTAACAACTGATTAGAGTTAATAACAAGCTTCTGTTAGATTTCAAGTATAGAGATTGTGTAGTTAGTAGTCTCTGTCTTGCTGTGTGATATCATTCCTCTTACAATGGCGGTGGTTACTAAGCAACTGCCCTAAACTCAAGGCGGTCGAAATAACAGAAGGATACTGACGAAGCTAATAAACAGACTTATATATATTTTTTTGTTTTAAATCAGTATCACCCCATGCAAGGCTTTAAAGCCACTAAGACACAAGGGGTTACAGGGTGTGGAAGAATTAAAAACATTAATAATAAGCGGGAAGACGACAGAGTAATTACACAACATTTAAAATTTTGAAAGAAGCACGCTTATTTTTGTCTTGCTGTTGAAAAGGTTGCGCCAAATTACTTACTCAATCCATATAAAATAATATAATCAATTTAAAGTTGTTTTCAGTTTTTATATGTACACTTATAGTTCTTTGGATTCCTTTCCAAAAGAATTGAATTAATGACCTTGAAATGTCTTCGCGGAAAACCTCGGATCCTTTCACGTGGCACGTCGATTGAAAATCACTACTGTAGTGAAATAGTTTCATAATTTACCGAAATTTGAACCCGGCACGACATTTCCGCGTGATAACCACTACGCTATACACACATCCCTATAGACCTTCTTCTATGTACCGCGTTCCTTCAAGACATTGATGATCATGGCTCTCCACAAGTTCCTATCTTGTGTGGCAATTAGCAGTTTTTTTTGTTTTTTTTTGTTGAGGCTCCCGACATCAGGTAAATGACTCATTGCCTTTCCGTATCTCTCTTCACCTCAATATGCCACGTGAAGATAAGCTTTTCCAAGCCCTCCTTTTTTTTATTATGTCTCCAAGAAATTTCAGCTATCTCTTCCTGATTCTGTGTATAAATATTCTTTCTGGTACCATTTTCCTTAAGACTTCTTTATTATTTATTCTCTCCGTCCATGGAATTTTCAGGAAACCTTCTGTAGAACCACATTTCTGTTGCTTCTAGTTTCATCTGTAGTAAGATTGTCCAGTATTCACTGGATTGATATCCCATAGCAATTCAACAATCTTTTCTTCGTTTCTAATGAAAATTTCTTGTTTCTTTTAGAATGATTTTTTTCGCTAATCCTATAGACCTTTGGATTTCAGTGTCGCATTTTGCATTCTCTGTTAAAACATTTTCCAGATATTTCAATTTTTCTACTTGTTTGATGTTGACATCTTCAATTCATGGTCCACGTCTTGGCCTTTTTTCTCTTGCTGACAACTGTACTTTGTTCTTACAGTTAACACCTAGTTCGTTCTTCTTGAAATATATTAAAGCAATATATTACATACCAATAAAGTACTTGTAGGTACCTAACACACAAGGAGGAAGAACGTTTCTTTTTCTTCTGTGTGCTGTGTCCCTTCAGGAAGTGGCCGATCATGGCTCTCCACAATGTCCTATCCTTTATGAACCTTAGCTTTTCTCACTTTGTCAAGTCTGTAACATCATTTCCACTATCCATTTACACAAGCTCGTTGGGTAAGTAGCCCACTGCTTTACTCTATCACTCTTGTCCTTGAAATGCGCGGTGAATGTTAAGTTTTCCAATCCCTCCTTAATTATATGTCAAGGAATTTCAGTTATCTCTCCCTAATTCGAAATGTTCTTTCTTGTACCATTTTCCTTAAGAATTCTTTATTATTCTCTCCGTCCATGGAATTTTCCGTATCCATCTAGGTTAGATAAATTCGATGAGAAAATGCTTTCTCTTTTATTCGTCTTTTTTATGTGTAGTCACTGGAATTCTCTGTCCGCATGCAAGCTGTGGCAATAGGACGGCGTCTCTTTGTACAACAGGTTCAACGAGTCAAATACGAGAGCGACGTGTTTGATAAGACAGGCTTCATTACAATCTCTATCTATAAAAGCCAGGATGTGTGTGTGTGTGTGTGTGTGTGTGTGTGTGTGTGTGTGTGTGTGTGTGTGTGTGTGTGTGTGTGTGTAACGAATGCACGGCCGCAATTTTCGACGGATTTGCACCAAAATTTACATGCACATGCTCCAAGTTAGTGGCAAGGCCAAGACCGACTTTGCATTTCCCAACTCCCATCAATAGTGGAAATAATCGATTTTTCATGCTTCTACGGAAGTTTTCATGTAGTTTGCGGCCATTTTCTACTGGCCAGAGTGAGAGCCTATAGCTGGCTGCCACGAATAGGCAGGAAGATTCTATTGGCCAGCGTGAGAGCCAACAGCTGACTGTCACGAATGTTAACTAGCATGCTAGCATGCCAAAAAAATCGATAGCTGCATTCATCACGTGGAAAAATTTTAAATCTGCATGGCACTTTACTCCAATTGGCTCATTCGCTTGCTTAAACTCAACGTTGATTCTGATTCCGTAGAACTGGGTTGGGTGTGAAAAAGTATTTGTTGTTAACATTCTTTTTTCATTTGGTTTTTCCAGTTACGAGTCCTTTTTTAAAGCTGATCGTTTTGTGTTCATTTTGTTTATTTCTTTTTTCGTAACAGATTTAATGTTTAGTATAGAGCTTAGAAAAACTTGGCAGTGTGAGATAGGCAAGAAGTAAGGCATGTAGCAACATCAGCACGGCAAAGGGCACTCCTTTAAAGACAAGGAAGGGCAAAAATAAGTCAAGTGTTAGCGATTGCTGTATGAGTCGTACGATTTTTAAATCAAGCACGGGCAACGCCGGACCATGCTGCTAGTTAATAATAAATGTTCCATTCTTAGAATATTGCTGCCTCAAATGGCCCGGTTTCCCAGCTCTTTACCTTGAGCTCCTTAATAAAATCCATAGAAGAATCAGCAATATTATCGTTCCTGATCTGACAGCTCGGCTTCCGACAAATTCCCACCAACGTTAGGTTACTTCTCTTTAGCTTTTTTATAAATATTTTCATTGTAATTGTTCGAATGAGCTCTTCAATATGGTATGAATTGCACATAAGGGGTTTAGTTAGGACTTTCATGGAGACAATGAGGTATTATGGTGAGTGTAGTAAGAAAGTTAAGTAAGAATGCGTTGTTTTGGTGTAAGGAATATTATTGTATGTTTGAGTCAGTGTTTGTGGCTAGCTAAGTTTAGCGTTAAGACAGAAGACCGTACCTTTTCCCCAATTCCTCATTTTGGCCTTGTGCCACACTTTTTGCACATAGCAGAATAAATATCGCTCTTCGGTATAGTATTCTAAATACATTGGGACTTAGATTTTTAAATTTTTGTTTTATCCCACAACCCCAGACAAGAATCGTACATATGGGGACTAGTTATGACTTAATGGAGATTCTGAGGTATTATGGTGGATGTTGTTAGAATGGTAAGTAAGAATGTGTTATTTTGGTGTAAGGAATAGTGTGGTATGTTTGGATCAGTGATTGTAGCTAGCTAAGTTTACTTATAAGGCAGAAAACTATCGTTTTCAAATTCCCCATTTTGGCCTTGCGCCACATTTTTATAAATTTTACAAAATAAATATTGCTCTTCGCTATGTTACCTACACTTTTTTTTTTAATTTAAGCGTAGTACTAGACTGTTATTGAGATCTCATCAATTTACAGTTAGACTGGCAAGATGTAACCGTAAATTATTTGCTTACAGTATTTTTTCTCGCACTCCTCACATATAGAACTCCTTTCCGGCTTCATGCTTTCCAGCCAACTATAATCTGCAGAAATTTATATACAATGTCAGTCGCTATCTACTGTCCTCCTGATTACTCTTTCCTCTTCCTTCGCATTATTAATATATCTATTCCTAATTCTTCCATACCAAGTAACCCCTTATATTTTAGTGGCTTTAATGATTTGCATGGAGTTATACGGATAAAAAACAAAAAAAATAAAAGTCTGTTTATTAGCTCTGTCAGTAATCACTGCCATTATCAGAGAAACGATATCACATAGCAAGCCAGATACTTGTTTTTCTTCTTTCTTTTTATGTGCTACATTCTTTCAGGACGTAGGCGATCATGGCTCCCCACCTCCCTCTATCCCTTGCAGCTCTCAACAAGTTCCTTCCCTCTGCTTCCTCCCCCAGACTACGTTCTGTCAATCACTTTCTTAAGTCCGCCAGGTATGCCACGCGTTTTTTTCCTTGTCTTTCTTTCCCTCTATTCGACGCGTGAGTATCAGATTCTCCAGGCCTTCCTTCCTCATTATGTGTCCCAGAAACTTCAGCTGATTCTTCCTGATATTAAGTATGTCTCCTTCTTGTTTGCAACCTCTCTAAGACCTCATCGTTGCTCACACGCTCATGAGGGTCCATGATATCCTTAGCATCCTTCTGTAGTACCACATCTTTGTTGCCTCTAGTCGTTTTTTCCTCTTTGAGGAAATTGTCCAACATTCGCTGCCGTAAAGAAGAACAGATGTCACGTAGCAGTTCAGTGTTCTTTTCTTTGTTGCTACTGCTGCTAAATGTTTATCTGATA